TTATTAGTCTTTATTGAGAAGTGGATCTGGTTAATATCTCTAAGAATACAAATCACTCATCTATCCACAATACACTGGTACCTGATAATTCCTACCCCTTTATAAGCTACAGATAACCACCGCCCTCGGACCATCTTGGTAGCTATAAATCAAAATGAGTGTAGCTCCCATGCAACCTGGGTTAATTTTTGTTTACAATATATCCACTGAAAATGTTGGTACGACACTTGAGGAGACTGCTTAGAGATTAGTGCAGAGGAAAATATATAAAGGAGTCAAGGCAGAAAAGAAAGATACACATCAGCTATACAAAACACAGTAAAATCTCTCTAATTCAAACTAATGACTAGAAGATCTATCTGATTACTGAACTCTGTCAATACCAAATTAAAGTAAAGAACCTAAGCGCACAAAACACAATTAACTCACTTGGTAACTATTGTTTCATTTATATTATTCAATATAAGTCAAAGTATTTGACAGCAACCTATCTATAAAAGTTTTAAGATACTGCACTGAAACTCAAAGGAATTTGATAATCTTAACAATAAGGTTTAGTCCCCTATTTCTGGTGCAAATAAAGTGGTATTAGCAACACACAATACACAAAAAGCACATTTCAAATACACTTCATAATAAATATCAAGATACTGCAAAGTTAGTTACAAGGAAAGTAAATTTAAGATTCAGTACCAACTGTATATTTTAGGATTATGAAGATCTTCTGACTTAAAATTAATATGAAAAAAATCTACATTAAATGTTACAATTCTTTTCATTGTTTACAAAACACATAGACAAAAATCCATGTAAAGATAGAGTTAACTAATAATCTAGGTAAGATCTTGACTCAAATCACTTTTCCACTCTTTCTGACCAAAAGGCTATGGAAAAGAAAAAAACGTATGGGAAGGAAGAAGAATGAAAAATAAAACTCAGCACCCAGGAAGAAAACAGTTACCTTAAATAAAGTACCACTTTCACATAGGAGGACTGCAAAATGGAGAAATATGCATTTCAGTCAGACAGTATTAGTAAGTGAAAATGGACAAATGAGAACATAATATATGGGATACAGCCCTAGAGGGCAGGGAGGCCCAAGACTGTTGGTTGATATTCAAGGATCACCTGCAAAAAGCTCAGGAATGTTCTATCCCAACTAGAAAGAAGTGCAGCAGGAGGGCCAGGAGACCTCCTTGGATGGATAAGGAGCCACTGAGGAAACTTTGAGGGGAAAAAAAGAGGATTATAAAAGGTGGAAACAAGGACAGGCGGCCTGGGAAGAATACAGGGATGCTGTTTGGGAAGTTAGGGACCAGGTTAGGAAAGCTAAGGCCCAGTTAGAATTAAACTTGGCTAGGGATGTTAAAGATAACAGGAAGGGATTCTATAGGCATGTAGCGAATAAAAGACAGATTAGGGTCAACGTAGCCCCTCTCCAGAAGCTATCAAGAGAACTGGCTACCCTGGATTTGAAGAAGGCTGAGGTTCTTAATGACTTCTTTGCCTCGGTCTTCACTGGCAAAGGCTCTGACCGCACCACCCAAGTCTTGGAAGGCAGATGCAGGGACTGTGAGAATGAAGACCCTAAGCCCACTGTAGAAGAGGATCTGGTTCAAGACTCAAGAACCTGAACGTGCACAAGTCCATAGGACCTGATGAAATCCATCCACAGGTCCTGAAGGAGCTGGCAAATGAAGTTGCTACGCCACTGTCCATCATATTTGAAAAAAGATGGCAGTCAGGTGAAGTTCCCAATGACTGGAAAAAGTGAAATATAACCCCCATTTTCAAGAGGGGAAAAATGGATGACCCGGGGAATTACAGACCAGTCAGTCTCACCTCCATGCCTGGCAAAATCTTGGAGCAGATTCTCCTGGAAGGCATGCTAAGGCACATGCAAAACAACAAGGTGCTTGGTGACAGCCAGCATGGCTTCACTAAGGAGAAATCCTGCCTGACCAATTTGGTGGCCTTCTATGGTGGGGCTATGGAACTGATGGACAGCGGTAGAGAGCTGATGTCATTTATCTGGACCTGTGCAAAGCATTCAACACTGTCCTGCATGACATCCTTGTCTCTAAATTGAAGAGGCATCAATTTGATAGATGGACCACTCGGTGGATAAAGAACTAGCTGGACAGCTGCACACAAAGAATTGTGGTCAATGGCTCAATGTCCAGCTGGAGACCAGTAATTACTGATGTCCCTCAGGGATCAGTGTTGGGATCGGTCTTGTTCAACATCTTTGTCGGTAACATGGACAGTGGGATTGAGTCCACCCTCACAGCAAGTTTGCCAATGACACCAAGCTGTGTGGTTCGGTTGATTCGCTGGAGGGAAGGAATGCCATCCAGAGGGACCTTGACACGCTTGTAAGGTGGGCTGATGCCAACCTTATGAAATTTAACCAAGCCAAGTGCAAGGTCCTACACCTGGGTCGGAGCAATTCCAGGCACAGCTACAGGTTGGGCAGAGAAGAGATTCAGACCAGCCCTGCAGAAGAGGACTTGGGGGTGTTGGCCGATGAGAAAATGAACATGAGGCGACTCCACTGTGCACTCGCAGCCCTGAAAGCCAACCATATCCTAGGCTGCATCAAAAGAAGCATGACCAGCAGGTCGAAGGAGGTGATCCTGCCCCTATACTCTGCTCTCCTGAGACTTCACTTGGAGTATTGTGCACAGTTTTGGTGTCCTCCATATTAAAAGGACATGAAACTGTTGGAACAAGTCCAGAGGAGGGCCACGAGGATGATCAGAGGACTGGAGCACCTCCCATATGAAGATAGGCTGAGAAAGTTCAGCCTGGAGAAGAGAAGGCTGTGTGGAGACCTCATAGCAGCCTTCCAGTATCTGAAGGGGTCAAATAAATTCATCAAAACTCTTTAAACCTATTACTGCTCTTGCAACTGTCTTCTCAGTTACTGAGTAAAGAACTTGAGCTGTTCTGAACACAGTGATTCCACCTAAAGAACTTGTTAGTGCTGGTAGCTTTATCCTTTCATAATACGCAGAAGTCAACACCATGCTTCTAAATAAACACTTACCTTGTCTGCTATTTATGAAGCAATAACAGTCTGACTAGTTACTTCTCACAGGTCATTAAAGTATTGGGGTGGAAGCCCTCCTAGCTTTTCTTCTACTATTATAGAATTCAGAAAAGCAATACACTTCTAAAAACTTAATTTTTATCTGCTGAAATAAATTAAAAAGTGACCCCTGTGAACCGCATCCCCTGCATGCTCCACATGTGCAACAACATCAAACATCCTTAGGATCACATGCAAGCAATAGTTTGCTTTCCTTCTTTAGGCACAGTTTATGAAGGAAAACAAGGTAGGAAGCATGCTGGTCCTTCAGCTGCTACTGTCATAAAATGAAAGCCCTTACAGTAGTAAGTGTCAGCCTTTATCTGGAAACTCACCTACGAAACTAGATACTATCAGCAGATGCTCCTAAGGAAATACTTGGATATTAAAGAATTGCAGACACATATATGAGAATATATACTCTAGTTATATAACAGAAATGAAACTCCTTCAAATGGAAACCAAGTGTCTGATTTTCCACCTGTGGTGTGATTCCAGCAAAAGAACATTATTTATTCCATATTACAGTGTATCTTACTGTAGATATTTCATAAGATTTGCAGAACTCCAGCTAGGAAGTCCAATTTTGGGGCAAAATATAAATCAGTGAAAAATATTTTTCATCTGAATTTCAACAGAATCTGTATTATTGACTCTGGTCTGCTGGAGTACAACACAGTCTATGTTATACTTTCAGAAGTGCTATTTATATATTGTAACTCTAAGAGATTCTGTTTTCTTCCCAGAAAATAAGTAGTCTTTCATAATTAATATCATGTTACAGCATCACACTAGCAACATTACAATTAACGCTTCTGAATGAAAGTTTTGTTTCTACATTGTTTTCAAATGCTTTTAAACAACACTAACTTGCTAGATGAGGGGCTTTTTGGGGGGGGTTGTTCATGTCACAAGGACACTGTGACATTGACATGAATTACTTGGAAAGTAAAAATAATTCAAATCTGTTTTTTGTTATTCAAATAAATACATTTACATTGTTAAAAAAATTAAAATCTGTATCTGCTTCTACCACTTTGCTTCTAAAATTGCTTTATCTTCCTTTTAGCATCTTCAACAAAAAAAAGAAAAAGGTAAGAGAGACAGGATCAAGTCCAGAGATATGCTAATAAGGATGTTAATATAAAATTTCTTATCTGGAAACGGGGGAGTCTGGAATGCATCTAATTAGGAAATTACCTAGGTGATGATTATTTAAAATAGCACATTTTGGTGGTCAGAAGAAATCCATTGTATTATACTTACATGATCAAAAGAGGACAGGCTAAAAAAATCCCAAAACAACAGGAAATAAGTAACCTCATGTGCAAAACTACAGATAGCATACAAAAACAAAAGCCTAATAAGCAACTCAAATATTATACCTAGTGCATAACATTGTAGCTATTTTAGGTAATATAGAGTATTTTATTTATATATATTATATATATTTACATATATACAGTTATAACTATATATGTAATTATTTTAAATAATACATATACCAGCACTTACTTTAGCAGTCTCTTGACATCCAGAACCATCCAATATTACACCCAGAAATGCTTCCCAGTTCTTCATTCCAGATGCATGCCACAGCTATATCCTGAGGCCTTACCAAATTCAAACATGGGTGAGAGAGATCTCTACTCCTGTGTGCTGCTCTCCAAGAAAAGAAAACACAAGGAGAGAGGCTGCAGGCTAGGTAAAGCACGATGCAGCAAGTCTCTCAACCACACTGCCCAGAACCAGAATCCTGAGGTACACCCAAATATGTCATCTTTATACAGCAACATCACACAAGATGGTATTTAGTTTCATTTTACTAAGATATATGCCCTGTCCCATTTCTTCAATAGAAAGCAACATCAGGAGCAGTTAAATTAATATTTAAATATTAATAACTTACTTTTATTTCCAACCAAGGCCACAAGTGGCCGTGTTTCCGATTCTTCATTCACTTTTTTTACTGCATTATACCAGTCTTCTAAATTTTCAAAACTCTGGCCATTGGTAATATCATAAACCAAGAGAACAGCCTAAATAACAAGATACATAAAAAATATTACTTGACATAAAAAAAAATTTTACCATGGTAAAATTTGCATCTGTCTAAATTACTATTATCATAAAACAGAGCATTAACAAATAATGGCATTGTATCTTTTCAGGAATAATCAAAGGAATTATAAATCTCTGTAATAAACACATTATTACAGTATATCTCCAGCATTCCATGTGTTCCAAATTCAAATGCTGACAGAACTACAATGGTAGTAAAAAAAAAAAAAGACAATTCAATAAAGATCACAATTAGTTATATTAGAAATATTCCAAACTGCATATGCTTTATGAAAACCCCAAAAGCACTTCACACTACTGATAAGGCAAAAAACACACTGGAGAAGGACTTTTATTTTAGCTGATGTTATTTGTAGTTTCACTGTTCTCTTTTTGAAGGGCAAAAAGGAAAAAAGGCAGTTCAGTTGTACAATTCTGCACATTGCCCAACTTGTTTCTCTACTCTCCTTTGAGAAGAAAGGCCACTATTTTAGGAGACAAGCAAGAAACACTGGCAAACTTTAAACTTTCAAAGAAGAAACTAAAGATGTGGTCAGAAGGCAATCCCATGTATTTCAGAGGTTTTGTGCCAGGCTACACTTTAATATTCACAGCAGATATTACTTTGAAGATTCCTCAGAGCTGATGTCCAATATTATAATGCCTACTGACAGCCCAAACACCCACCTCCTCCCCTTCATAACAAATCACTGTCCCCTCAATTACTGAGGCTTCTGCCACTGCTTTCCACCTCACTCCAATAAAGTATCTACCTTGATGAGGAATAAAATCAGAATTGGCTTCTTTTGCACTTGCCCTCATGAAGTTCACATCTGAGAAAAAAAAAATAACAATCCCTGCAACTGCACACTGTCCCTCACATAAAATTTGCACAAATATTCCCAAAAAAAGACCCCAATGTAACACATACAAAATTAGCTGCTTCAATGAGCCACTATCAACAGCAGAGATTGTTTTCAAGTCAAGTGTTTTCAAGCATTTGTCTGGGACAAGCTTTACTTCTCAGTTTCGTGAACAGTGTCTTAGACCACAAAATAGGATGCACACTTTTTAAATGAATTTCACAGAAGACAACAAACTGGTAGAGACCACAAGATTATTTGAAGAGAGTTTAGATTATGTGATGAGAAACAAGCTAAAAATAACAGGATGCAATTCAGCAAGTCCCATGACAAGTTCAAAGGAAGCAATAATCACCTGCAAAATAGGAAACATCTGGCTTTGTAGCAGGTTCCATACAACAAGATCAAGGAGTTACAGTAGATCACAGTTGAATATGTCAACCTTATTTTATTAGCAAAAAGGCAAGTATCAGAGTGGCATGAAACATTCCATGTGAAATAATGCATCCAGCTTTGGATGCTAAATGTCAGGAAAACAGTAGACTAGAAGAGACCAGTAATAGTGCTAGAGGCTTAGAAACCATGACTGGCATCAGAAGTTCTAATAAAACCTTGTATTTTAATGCAACACTGATGGCAGGTATGATGATACTGGTAAAAGTTTCAAGAGAAGATAACCATTATCTTCTTATATGCTCTTATATATAGTTTGAAGATGACACTAATTTGGGAAGACCAGCCAATAGGCGCAAGGCTTAAGAAATGCTTAAGGAACATGCTTAAGGAATGAACGAACATGAACCTTTCAACATTCAACCAGGACAAATGCAAAGCCCTGCATCTGGGGATGAATAAACGACACAAGCTGGGGGGACTGACTAGCTAGGAAGCAACTGAAAATGACCTGAAGGTCTTGGTAGAACAGCAAGCCAAGTATAGGCAACAGTGTTCCCTGGCACCAAGATGGCAAACATGACCCTAGGCTGTATTAGCATAAGTACAGTCACTAGATCAAGGGATCTATTCCATTCTACTCAGCACTTGTTAGATCATATCTGAAGTAATACATCCAGTCTTAGGCCCCTCATAACATCAATGAAGTGGAGTAAGTTCAGCGAAGGGCCACCGAAATTGTAAGACTGGACACTTATCCTATAAGGAAAAGCTGAGGGAACCAGAATTTTTCAGCATGAAGAGGAGGTGGCCTTGGGAGAACCCAAAGGCAGCCTTTCCATACACATGAGGAAGCTATCAAGGAGATGGGAGCAAGGCTCTTCACAGAAGTGCATGTCATAGAATCATAGAATAGTTAGGGTTGGAAAGGACCTTAAGATCATCAAGTTCCAACCCCCCTGCCATGGGCAGGGACACCTCGCACTAAAACATATCACCCAACAGGCATAAACTGAAACAAGGGAAATTCAAAATAGATAAAAGGAAGAGCTTTTTCACCAGGAGGAGATTCAAGCAGTCAAATACATTGCCCAAAGAGGTTGCTCCATCTCCATCCTCAGAGGTTTTCAAGAAGGAACAAGTGGCTAAAGCCTTGAGCAACCTGTACCATCTCACAGCTGACCATACACTGAGCAGGAGGTTTGACTAGATGTAGGTAGAAGGAGATCCCTTCCACCTTGAACTTTCTTACAATTCTATGATCAATATGGCATGCAGCAACAAGTTCAACTGCAGCAAGATTATAGCAAGGGTACATATGGGGGGGGGGGGGGGGAACCAAACATGTAGACAATAGGAATAGTGAAGCTCTGAAATATACCACCTTCAGAGACAGTCAGCAACACTGAAGGATTTTTGAAGGTTGATAAAAACGAAATAAACATTGTACATGTATAGCTTCAGAAGACAGTAAAAGATCCTGCCCATATCCTTTCAATTCCTACTTCCCTATGATAGCAATACAAATCTGTTTTTAATTTCAACACCATCAACTGCTGGAAAAATTAGTTCTTGTTTGTTATATTTATATGGCCGCTATTAATTTCTGTGAAACAGCTTTCACCAGTTCCTTCAAAGAAATTAAGAACTCACATATTTTTCCTTGCTATCTTTTCTCCTTTACCAATCAAATTCAATATTAAACACCCAGTTCCCCCTTCCAACTTCTGTACAATTTATTCCTCACTATCTTGCATCTCAGTTAACTTTTCCTGATTGTTTTTATAACTACCCAAGTGCCCGGACATGTATATATGTCTTCCATAACACAGGACTTACTCTAGAAAGGGCATACTGATGCTGTTAAATGCTCAGTAGAAAAGAAGAAACTCAAACTGAAGGAGAGGTATTTTAAAAGTTAAAAAAAAAAACAGACATAAGGTTGAGTGTTGTAAATAACAAAGTGCAGATGGCATGCTTCTTTCAACAGCAGCCAAGTTCTCTCGGCAGCTTGCAGAAAAACTGAGCAGACTATCTATCCTCTATCTACCATCTTCACCGCTGAAGAGCTGTATCAGAATTAGATATAAGACAAAGTCAGAATCTGAGCATTTAAGATTGGCCAGCTCTGTTTCTAACTAATTCTTCAGCAAATGGTGCTCTGGTACATATACACTAGACAACTGCAGCCTACCTACACATTTGGAAGAAAGGGCATTCACAGCGGATTTACCGTGAAAGAAATAATTGAACGTAGTCTGCAATTAGAGCTCACCTAACTTCCTTTTGGCCCCTTTCTCCACGATCTAAAACATTTCTTCTAAAGCATGTTCTTTTCTTAACCTCTCTCTTTTTTAATCTTGTCAATATTTGCTATACTTAAGAAACAAAGATGGCAGGCATGACATGACATCTCAGAGATGCAAGAAAAGGCAGCATGGCATCCAGGTCATAAGGAATACTTCTTGCTTTGATTTTTGCCACAACAGCACTCTATAAGTAACTTAGTATGATATATGTAACTAATGAAGGCCTAGTCGTAACTCATAGCTAAAATTTATTTCAGCTTTTTTTATTTAACACAGAAACCCTATCACAAAAAAAAAAAAAAACCCACACATTTTCCACAGTATATGGAGTATAGAACAAGTAAATATTATAAAAGCTGTTGTTTCCTTCTTATGTGTGAGCAATTAAGGCAGGAAACAAACACTGGCCTTTTTACGCAGAAGTAGCCCATTTTCCTGCCATGAAAAAGGTTTGAAACACATGGCGGACAACATGCCAAGAACAGCACGTTAATTCTCTAGTCTCCAGCAACATGGTAAATAGTCCCTGCTTGCATAATTGCAGTCTAGTAAGAGAGACATTCTGCCTGTATTAGTGCATATGTGAGTGCTTTTTGTTTTGGAATTATAGAGTATTTTCAAAAATAGGTCACTGGAAAGTGAGAATATTGCAGAAATGATTTGCTGGTCTCTGGAGAAGGTAGGGTCTGCAGTACTATTACTCTATTAACAAGCCAATTTATGAGGTAGCGTATGCCAGCTCTTAAAGATACTTTAAATGAGATATGCGGGTAGGGGCAGCAATTACAGGTAAGAGATGGGAGCGGTTCTGAAATATTTGCCACACAAACAGCAATGGTACTATTATACAGCAGAACTCCTATTATGGAAGTGTTGTAACCAGGCAATATATTCACACTAGACAATCAACATTTAAAAGGTGTCAAGTTTATGTCAAGATCTGTCACAATAAAAGAAAGCTACAGAAAATACTAATTAAAACCACATGTTTTCTTCTTCAGGTTTATCCTCAGCTGCCCTCATGCTATGACTGACTTTAGTATGAAGGAACGACATTAACTTTAAAATTTTCATTAATATTTATGAAATATGTCAGACCAAATTTCTAAAATATTTTTCAAGTCACAGATTATTCATTTTAGCGAAGAGTAACTTCATTATGATATCTTGCACACCTGCAGAAATGCTAATTTTACAAGTGAAAACAGCTTACAGTCTACTTAACCACAGTTGTCTTTGCTGATACAGAGGACATGGTCACTCAAATGCACATGATTAAGTAGCTGTAATTGAGCTACTGTCTATCAGGTTCAGCTATGGTAACTGACTATACAATTGCTATTAGCCTCTCTCAATTCTGAGATAAATGTGTCAGTTTTAATCAGCACTGACAGAAAGCTGTTTATTAGTAACTTTTATTCATAAAGATCAGAGAGCTCTTTCTCCCCCCCCCAATTCACAGAGTACCCATCAGGAAATTCAGCTACCAAGAACAGGATGCAGCAACACCAGATTAAAAACAGGTAGGGAAAAGACTGCTCCAAGACAGCAAAGAGTCTCTCTCAACAGCAGCTGCCTTCCAGCACACAACCATTCATCCGAACTTGGTGCCAATTTCAAACAATAATTTGTTCCACTGTTCAAAGAATTAATAAGACATGACCTCAGTACAAAGCCCTAAGGAATACACCTTACAACCACACACCAGTAGGACACTAAGCAGTGGACCATCACGCTTTAAGTCCAGCTGTCCATTTAGTTTTCCAGTCACCTTATGGTCCATCCATCTAGTCTATATCTTTACATGTTGCCTGTAATAATATTATGGGAAATTATATCAAAGGCCTTGCTGAAGTCGAGGTACAGGACATCAACTGCTCTCCACTCCACAGAGCCAATCATTCAACCACAGAAGGCATTCAGGTTGGTTTGGCAACACTTAAATATTCTTAAGTACACACTAGCTCTTCCCAGTTATTCTCTTGCTGTTTTGCTCTCCATTTACAGGAAGTTTTGTGCATACTTATAATGATTTTTCTTTCTAAATACTCCTACTTCTTTTTCTTCTAAAAAGCTATAGATTTCAACATGAAATAAGCTTCTACCTAGAAGTACACTGCACACAGTCCCTTTCCAAATTATTCATGGTGTTTCGTGAATTGATGAAAATAGTTTCATGTGTCCTTAACATGATGCTGTTACAAAGCTAATAGAAAAGTGCATTACAAGTCAGCTTCGATGGCAAGAAGCCTATTACAAACAATGGCAATACATGACGCCAATGGGAGAGAAAGCAGCTATCAGTTCATTATAAAAAAAATAAAAATAATAGGGTTACAATAAGGGTTGGGGAAGGATTAAAGAAGAACAGAAAACAGGGGTTTTCTGTTAATGTGCTCAGAATGACTGAAAAATCAAACTTTTGTAACTTCAGGCTTACTGATATCCACTTCTTCACTACTTTGGGGCACTGGTATTAACTTTTTGACCTGCTATTGCTGATAAGAAACTCCTAAGTTTATCACCAAATTCAATACAGAAGAAGTTAATAGCCTTTTATTTCCTTCATCAAGTTTACTTTGGGCATATGGCAACAATTTGTAATCAATCAAATTCTCTGTCATGGAAGCCACTTTCTTCTGTGGCTTGGTAGATCTTTAACAGGGCAGCAAAGTGTTTTTTATTAAAAATAAGAAAATACTACAAAACAGATGCAACAGAAATATTCTGACATTTTTTGAAAGTGAAAGAATGTTAAATTGACAAGTTTGTCTTTATCCTACTAACTAATAAATCCTGATCTCCTTAATTACTGTGCTGTACTTGTTAGTACAAAGTTTCTGTCCAGTAAAAGTTTCAGGACTCCATATTCCTATTGCTTAAAGTACTGGGGGAAAATTATGTGCATTCATTTTCTTTTCAGATAAATTTAACATTAAATAATAAAACATGTTATGTCTATTGTTCTCATTACAAATTCCAAATTAAAGAACAGAGCATATTTTGGGATCGCTCATATTAAGAACTTTGAAGTATATTACATCCTCCAAAATCATCTCATAACTCTAGATACTTCTGTAATATTTACCTCTTAATTAATCCTACTATTCACTTTAAGTTGCTTAGTTAACCTCAAGATAAAATTAATTTTCATTGGATAGGAGTTCTGCAAAAATATTTAGCTACCTGGTTGCCTCCTTTTGTTTGCCCTCTTATAACCCCAGTTGCATGTATGAGTTTAATGGTGTAGGATTGCCCTTAATTTCCTCCTTCTACTTTTCCCCGCAGGAGGCATCTGTTCTAAAAGCAGCCACTCTATGTCTACCATGTGGATATTCAAATAGCCTTTTATTTACTATGATTGCTTTTCTTAACTCAAGACACAAAGCATGGAAACATGCATACATCTGCTCTTAAGAGTTATTCAGATCTCCAAATGCATACTCGTGCTTTGCTTTTTACGTCAGCTCTAAAAAATTAACTGCATACCAAACTTAGATGTGCATGTTTAATATCAATTATGTTTAGGTTAAGCAGTGATTCAACATTTTTGAGATTTACAAATAATAACCTATAAGATATGTATAATTTTAAGAAGAAAGTTTCAGGGAATTTTATATGATTACTATAGATACTATTATCATGATTTATACTGTACCTGAGCTCCATAAATATATTTGTCCAGCATTTTGCCTCCTATTGTTTGTCCCCCTACATCCCACACTTGAAGAGTAACATTCAAATTTCCTGAAAAACAAAATGATACAGATACTGGGTAACCCGGAAAATTTAAATACAAATAAAATTAACGATATATTATCACAGCAGGTAATACAGCTCTAGTATATCAACAGCAATAGCTTTTACAAGTATACAATAAATAGTAACTAAATAAATTTAACACAAAAATGAACGAATCATTTGAAAGAAACTCACTTGTGTCCAGCTAAGTTAAGATGCTGGACATTAACAAATTTAAAATTAACAGAAAAATAAGTGGAATTGCATAGTTTAATATTCCTGACTATAAATAATATAGCATACTTTGCTGAAGAAAACTGTACAACTTTACAGAGAGCATTCTAAAGCACAGTACTTGGAATTGAAAGGTAATATATAATTAATACCAACTTCACCACATTATTTCATACACTGTGGCCCTTCTCTCCCCCCTTCCAAGTTTACAAATCTAGAAGCGAGGAAAATCTTCACAGTAACTGTGTTTGGTAGGGATGCTCTTAGTAATATACAGTTAAAGAATTACATAGATGACAGATTGAAAAATGGAAATACTGACACACATCTAACTTGAGGATGCAAAACTACGATTATTTCCTTCACCCATTACCCCAAAGCAGGCAACTAAACTGGACATGATCTACATGTCCAATTTCATCTTTGAAGAATCTACACCAAGAATAGATCTTCCTTTCTACTCTAAACAGTTTTTAAGCTATACTGACTTTCTTTTACATATATATACACATATATATACACACAAACACTACCACTTTCAATTAACAGGCTTTCAAAAACAAAGAAACAAAAGATCAGTGAAAATACAGAACCATCACACATATTCTGCAAGCTAATAACTCAGACTAAACACACACATGCATACAAACATAGTGAAGTATGATTTGGCTCACGCTGCATGGGGAAAACTTTTCAAAACTGTACTATTACCTGAAAGCACCAAACTTTAATACAGTGTGGTCTGATGAGAATTTTTCTAACCTACATACAACTCATATGACTTACAAGTTAACAGCAATTCTATATACTCACAAATAATCATAACTCCCTATTGATTTTACTCCTAGATTTTAAAAAAATGTAACAAATTCCACATCACAACAATTGATTGTCCAGCGAAAAAGAACACATTATTTTTGGCTACTAAGAAAGGTACACTGATAATTCAATTATCTTGTTAACAACTTTAATTTACACAGTCTGACCTATTCCACGATCAATTTATAACTAACACGCTCATATTAGTTATGCAAGGAAGTGTGCTCCATAGAAATATATCCCAGCACTCAGTGAATATAAGCAGCAAATCAGAACCATATAGCTGAATATATGCTATTCATGGTATTAAATATACCACATTGTATTTTTATGAAGCATCTTGCTTTAATCTAATTAAAAGCGCAGATTTCCTAAACTGCTTCTTTGCTCTCAAATATATAGAGATGAATGTGGGACTACCTACTCAGTATTTTTAAGGTACACTGGGTTTTATCTAACAGTAAGATAAAGAACTAGATTTGTAGTACAATAAATACATCATAACATTCCAGTTCAATAAAGGCAACCTTTCAGAGAATAAAAAGCTTATTTCTTTTGACAGTGTATATACTATGTATTAATTATTTTTAAAGTTTAGAACATAAGTGACTGCAAACAATGCAGGAAAGTCTTCCATATAGCATCTGGCATGGATAAGCTGGCCAATCTGCAGTCAGAAATTATTATGCATCCTCAGTGGGTAAACAAACTAAACATGCTCAAAGGCTTAACATGCTGCAGTGTTCTACCCCTAACTTGGTTGTTTGTATTCTTCTGGAAATTTACCATGTCATTCATGTCAGCTATTCGTGAAAAAAGCTTTATAAATATTATCACTTTCAAACTCAAATTTTCAAATGCCTAATTTTGTGTTCAAATGCTTTAAAAAGTTTCTAACTTCATTTTTCTTCCTAAAAGTAGTAATTATGCACAGCATATGGGCTTAGTATCTGGGTAACTGTATGAAATTATCTGAGAAAATTTAAGGCATTAAATTAAACGGTCTAACAGTGACTGTTCAACTTAAAAATCTACTGTTATGAATTATTTACTTTCCTTTACTGCAACAGAAAAAAAAATGGAAAAAAAAATATTGGAATGTTCATTTAAGGTGAAGTGGTTCTTCATTAAGACCTCACTAACTACTGAAATTCAGGCTGATCATCTCCAGTGAAAAAAACCTTCATTTCCTTTTTCTTTCTTTTCTTTTTTTTTTCAGTTAGGTGCCATAATACTTACTTTGTGTTCAGAAATCAATTTTATGGGTGAAAATATGATATTAGGGTTTTTCTGACAGAAGGAAAAACAATGTGCCTAGCAAATATTTAATTAACTATGATAACAGTACATGAAGTTTTCTGCAATGAGTTTGAAATCTTCTGGGTTTCAATAGATTTAGGAGGAACATATAAGCTGGAAAATTACAACAACAAAAAAAAATGCGTAACAAGACAGTTCTTAAGAAACAAGTGTAACATACCAATAAAAAGAACTAAAGAATCCCATAAAAATAATATGCAATATGCTGACATGGAACAATAAAACATTAGTACTTCTTTACTCTGTAGAACATACACACGAGTAAGAAGTTACATTAATTGAGGCAACACCATGCAAGCATCTAGATTGCTTCTGGTATGAACTGAATCCACTGGGCTGACTCAGTAGTGATTCTGCAGAAATATACCTGGTGCATTGGTTAAGCTTATTTGAAGCGATTCACAGTCACGATAAAACTAAAAACACGAGTCTGCCCACTTTTTGCACTGACTTAGGGAAAAAAAAACCCTTTAACAGAAGAATCGTGTTTATTGGACTGCACCCCACAGCCCTCCTAAACGTATTCGACTAAGGTTCTTAAGAACCTCTACCAGCAGACCCTTTGGCTAACAGATACACTATATAAGCAGTAAAATCTACACCGTGGTTGCATCCAGACTACACAAGACACCGCATCAACAAATACACTGAAGCTGATTTGCATTTGAAAAAAAAAATATTTTTAACAAACTTCATGAAGAGAATTTGTCAACAGTTGAACACTGAAAGTCGCTTTGTTCAAAATTAATTTTTTTCCTATTTGTATTAAACCATATTGTTTTAGCATATAAAATACTTATTTTCATTGCAAAACTGCATCAATTACTAAAACTGGAGACAAATAACAATATTTTTTAAAAAGCCCCAAAACCAGAAAAACAGTATTTTACAAGCTAACATACATTCCTAATATGGCCTAATGTAAACATCTCTGCAATTCTAGAAATCAGTAATTTTAACTTCTGAAAACTTTGTTTACGAGAAAAAAAATCAACTACTGAACCACAGTTATGCACCAATTCTCCTACTAAATAGGAAAAATTGAGGGGGTTTTCCTACTGATATACATATAATTCCTGTGCAGTGGTATGAATTAACCTTTCAAGTAAACACAGCAGCTCTGAAAACCCAGAAGTAATCAAGAAATTAGAAAAATCCGCTTAAGTAATGTTTCCCATTCCAGTATTTAGAAACTACCTCCCTCCCTCTTCTTTCACTCCCTCCCCACCACCAGTTCAGCTTACCTATAAAACATAGAAACCCTTAGATACCTAAACACATACACGGACATAGGCGAAACCAGAATGACAATCTGCAGAAAAATGCGTCTTTCTGAATATGAACACGTTACACAAACATTACTATTTTGTGAATGATAAATGAGGAAAATAGATGTACAGACAATGTTGCCGTTTTTGTGTTATATGGTGCTATAAAACATTCTGATTTTATTACAAAATAAACTAGAAGAAAGCAAAATGTGAATGAATTAATAGTTGATAATTTTCCAAATTTTTACTCCACAAGAATATTTAGAATCCTGGTAACATACTAATAGCTCCTGTATGCTTAACAGCTGGAAAAAAACTTGCAAAACGAAGTTCTCAGCATGCACACTGCATGATTTGTGTACACATTCCACTTGCAAGTACTGCTGTTAAGTATTATACACACTGGTATTTTTAGAGGCATGAGCAGGACAATAAAAAAATTATTCTGTTGATTTTATGGAGAAATAAGCACTAAAATTTGGTACTTTTATCACTCACCAGATACTAAAAAAGTACAGCAAAATTGCCAAACCAAAACAGTGAATGCAGGAATAGTCTGAAAAGATTATTTTGTTTCCCTTACCAAAATATATAAACACAATCAAGAAGTTATTGGCAATATAATTTTAACAAAATAAGTTCAAGAACTGTATATATTTTCTTATAACTTCAGGTTACAGCTAAAATGCTTCATTTCTGGCTTTGCTTCCCTCCTCATCCTCTACAACAAAAAAAGAGAACTACAGAACTGAACTTGCATCAGCTTTATCAAATCTCACTACAAGATTTAATAATTACACATACTTTTATCTTCTGATTTTTGAAGCCAGAAGAAAATGCATTTAATGAAATACTTGCATACTCAGAAATTGAGCAAACACAAATCAATGAAGCCTTATTTCAAATCCCCAATTGTTCAGAGACAAACTTCTACCAGCAACTATTCTCTTTTAATTATTTCTTTTCATTTTCCATGCAGTGTGCTGCAACTGGCATCTAAATAGTTTCTTTGCAGTCGTGAACTGAAACATCTTGAATGCTCAAACTGTATTTTTATGAGTGCCAAGGGACCCTAAATTTTAGTGGTCTATTAAATGCCAGCAATTTCATGCTGCCTTGCATAAAACAGCATTCACATATTAGAGCACTGCGATTCCATAGCTGCATTATGCTTCTCTCAGACAACTCAAATACAAGTTGTGTATTTCATTAAAAAAATTCTTTCAAAGCACATATACTTTTTGAATGAACATATTTCAAGTTCCATTTCATTGTTGCATGTTACACTATCCACATGGACAGCGAGTTCACTCAAGCAGAGATAATAAAAATCATTAATATAGATAGCATTCCTTTTATATGAATTCAGTGTTTTAGATGCAAGCTGCAAATGCATACCCTTTGTCACCTGTCAAGAACATACTAACAAAATTTTACTTGAATAACCTAATTTACTTTGCCATAAAAAGCACTGTACTAAGCTTATTTGGTATACATTGCTTTGAAGAATCTGTTTCTGTAAGCCTTACTTCTGCCCAGTCTTTCAGCGTTACTTTTTATTTTCTTACCTGGCAATATTATCCTCTTCAAGAAGAAGTCCAATCCTATAGTTTGTTTGTACTGTTTTCCAAATGTTTCTTGAGCAAAACGTGTAGCTAAGGATGTCTAAAACAAAACAATATTAAATTGTTTTAAACAGGGAAAAAACTTGATGTTAAACCAGAAGTATGAAATACAGTTAAGCGCTTTTTAAATCATTGCATGACAACAGTGTCCATGGATTTGGACTGACAAGCATCCCAGCCAGCTTCAACATAATAAAAGAAGGTTACTTGTCTTCTTAAAAAGGCTATTAATTTATGCAAAAGAAGCAAGGTGCATATTTCCTTTGTATTTCAAAGGTACTGTTTAGTCATATTAGAAAATATTACATAGATTTGAATAAGGCATCATTAGTATGCTCAAACTGAAACAAATCTAAGTGACAATATCCATACCTGAAGAAACTATTTTTAAAAAGCATTCATTTCCAAAACAAGGGTCCTTCCCTGGTGCAGAACACCTAGATCCCAGACTAACTTTCTGGGAGGGAACAGAGATCTGCACAGTGAAGAGTCCCTCAGGGGCTCCAAAGTGTGGCAGATTCCCACCACTGTATATCAAAGTTTCAGGATCAGAACATAATAGGAATATTTCTTCAATTTATATTTTGTGGGTTTATGAAAGTAGACCAATACACTGTTGATCTACTAATCAGCTATTACTACATACTGCTAAAAGGATATACAACTAATCTACATGAAGTAATGAAGCAAGGCACTTATATACTTTCCCTAGCAATTTAAGTTCTCCATGCAAGGAAAACAAAAAAGGAAAGGGAAAAAAAAAAAAAAAAGAAAAGAAGAAGAAAGTCCCACAATCCAGAGATTAAAAAAAGCAAAAAAAATGGGGGGCAAAAGAAAAAAAAAGGTGAGGTGCAATTTTAAAGAATACAAACGCTTTTATTGTGAAAAAATGAAATACATTAAAAAAACATGTCACACTGATAAAATACATCCTACATCACATTAGTGGTGTGCACTTAAATATTTTGATGATGTGACATCTGAAAATACGAAGACACAGTAATTGCAGAAAAAAAATCTAAATATGCATTTACACATACAGGGGAAAAAAAGCTTAAAGGCCTCACAAAACCCTTTCACTGCCTGAGAAAACTCAAATGGGCAAGAAGAATTTTTTTTGCCAGCTTTCCATTCATCCAGACATAAAGAGATGAGTCACATTATTACTAGAAATAGCTGTTAGAGCACACAGAATTAATGCAGTAGCAAAATAATGCCAATAGTTCTGAAACAATGAGAACAGGCAAGCTCTGTTAATACAACGGTTCTAATGAAGATATAAAGTATGCTAAAAATGTCAAATGTAGACAGGAAGAAAAGATAAATTACTCTTTTTGCATGAAAACATGGTTACCAGAGCTCCAGCATTAAAGCTCTAATATGAAAATAGACATTTATTCTGCAATTAAATTACCTGTGAAGTAAATACAAGATTTACTGTTTTCTTGTTTCTATATCACATTTATATTCCTACCACTGTCCTATATATGTAATAAGTGATAATTTGATACCAGAAGATACACTTAGGAAGTAATCCAAAAAGTCAATTAAAGACTATGGCAACATTTTCACATACTTCACTGAACTCAAGCCCCAAGAGGATTAAAAATAAATAAACGGGGGGGGGGGGGGTAAAAGGCAAGTAAACTAGAAATAGCATGAATAGGGTTATATATTTGTATCACTGTGGAAAGGGTGAAGACCACAGAGGATGAATCATGAGAAGATTCTTCTGCCTACAGCTATGTGACAGGACTAACAACATACACAAAATGAAATTCAATACAGATTTAGACTGTTGTACTGAAAAAGTCAGTAGAACTTATTCTTTTAATCACAATAGTTAGTATGTCAAGACTACAAAGATATTAATCTGTCATGACCCTAAATACGTAGATAAGAATAAAAACATTGCAGTAATACACCATACAGCCTTCTCCTTCAAATTTTCCTTATCATAAAAGTAACCAGTACCCAGAGTACAGATTAAAAGATCTTCTAACTATATCATAGTATTCTATGTTCTCCAACACACTAATTTAGATCCCCATTAAATAAGCAACCACTCCCTTCTTGTTTTAAGGGCTCCGTAAATATTAGCTTTATCACTCTGTGACACTTGATATTCCCTGAGGGCCTCTAGGGGTGTTAGTGAAAATAAACAACATGCATTCAATTAACAGGCAAGCAATAAGAGCAGCAAACAACCAACAGCATGGCAAAATTCTCAGACAGTTTTCTTCTATCGCGTTCTTGAATGCAAAGGAATTTGTAGCAAAAAATCATTGACTAACTCCTTTTTAATTTTTTTTCTAATAAATATTAGAGCTCAAGGCATTGGATTACCACACTAGACTCCTCTATTCACAGAACAAATATTTATCTGTAAAATACTAAGAGCAACAGTTCAAATTTCTCCACAACAGTCAACAAAGTTATGTCAATGCATATTTAGGTACCGCTACAATGCAGATACTCCCTTCAATCCTAAAATTGTTCCCTGCCATGCTTGCCATAAAAGATTCTATATGACAGAATATTTTCTGTCAATGTAAGGATATGTTGAGTGCAACCCATGTAAAAAAATAACCAAAGTTAAATAATCATTCAGTAGAACTGTAGTGAACAGTGACTGGTTTTGAAAAAGATTATGTTACATTCATAAGATTTCAACCACCAATATATAGATCAGAGTATGATCAGTTTAACATCTTGCTTTGCGGAGGCGGCTGAGGTTTTTGGGCTGGAAGTCAGCTTGAAGAAGACAGTAGTCCTCTACCAACCTGCACCCCAAGAAGATTATTGCCATCCCCATATTACCATCGGCGAGTCAGAGCTTAAGACAGTTCAGCAGTTCAGCTATCTGGGAAGCATCATTTCCTCGGATGCCACGATCGACAAAGAGATAGACAACAGAATAGCAAAGGCATATAGAGCCTTTGGAAAACTCCATAAAAGAGTCTGGTGCAATAAACACCTGAAGAAAAGTACAAAGATCAGTGTCTACAGAGCCATTGTATTGTCTACTCTTTTATATGGGTCTGAATCATGGGTCATCTACCGTCATCACCTGCGACTCCTGGAACGCTTTCATCAGCGCTGCCTCCGTACAATTCTAAACATCCATTGGACTGACTATGTATCTAATGTCACTGTCCTCGAACAGGCAGGGGTCACCAGCATCGAGGCCACATTGCTGAAACTGCAGCTGCGCTGGGCAGGGCACGTCTCTAGAATGAAGGATCACCGCCTCCCCAAGATCGTGTTTTACGGTGAACTTGCCACCGGTAGCCGCAAGAGAGGTGCCCCAAAGAAGAGATACAAGGACTCCCTGAAACAATACCTTAGCCTTGGCCATATTGACTACCATCAGTGGTCCACCTTGGCCTCCAATCGGGAGACTTGGAGGCACACCATACATAATGCCGCTGACTCCTTTGAGAGCTCACGAAGAACTAGTCTCGAGGAGAAAAGACAACGCAGGAAGAATCGTGTCCCACCTGTTCCACCCAAGGAGACCTTCTGCTGTGCTTTTTGTAGCCGGATTTGCCTATCCCACATTGGCCTTCTTAGTCACCAGCGCGCTTGTAGTAAGCGTGGGTAAATGCCCTTCCCAAATCTTCGTTCGCGAAGTCAAGCCATGATGATGATGATGATGATCAGTAATGAGTATGATATCAGCATGGTATCAAGAAGGCCTTATTCCTTTATCTATCTCCTAAGACAACCAGGCCACCAACTTTCACAGCAGACTTTCCATTAGACCCAGTCTGACAGGTTCACACATTTGTCTTAAATACTTCAAAGCAAATATTTAGAAGGTTCTGAATAGCAATACACTATTGAAGGCTGGTGTGACAAACTCCCTCCTTTCAGACAATAAAAAGTCCAAGTTCAAAACACAGCAACAACAAAATAATACATCAAATTTACAGCACCCTAAGGGCAAAATACAATGCAATATTTTGGAATTTTTTTTTGAAACAAAGATGAAATTAATTCTCACAGGCAAGGCAAGACAATTTCTTGTTTCCATCTGTCAATGTCAACAAGTCACAGTACAAACTGCTGACATGCTGTTCCTAAACATCTACCTACTGTATAAATAGAAGAGAAAAAAAGGCAAACCCTATTTATCAAATAAATGGAAATAAACTGAAAGTCAAACAGAACAAGCAATGATAGCCAGCTCTGACACTGACTACTCACCAGGACAGCATAGAAACTTGTAGAGAAAACTCCACCAATGATGACTGAGTAAAATCCTACAGAAGAAAGCTTTTAGAAAGTCAAAGTGTAGTATCACAGTTGTAAGAAAAAAAAAAAAATAAAATCAAAATTCAATGCGATGCCAGCACACAGTTCTAAAGCCATGGATTTCCATTCATGTACCAATTTTACCAGCCAACTGAGAATCCACTTTTCAAAAACACTTATATAATCCTTCCCTGACTCCTAGAACATCAAAGTTGTTCCCCAAGCACAGCAACATTCACCCCTTAGTCACATCCTACCACAACTGGCAAGAATTTTAAAACAAACTAAAAGAAACACTAGGCTAAATAATGAAATGTTTTAACTAGCGTAACAACATGTTAACTGTCCAACACAGAGAATTTCTCACTGAGAACCATCTAGCTTTATTGGGGTGAGATGGGAAGTATTTCATAAAAAAGAAAGAAGTTCTGCCACCTGAAGCTGGTGTCTTTCCACCACACTCCTAATTACTGATGAAACTTTGTTCACCCTAAAAGAGAAAATTATCAAGACTTTTTCGACATTAGCCATGGATCCATGAAGCTAGACCAATTTGCACAGGACACTTGATGCAATTTTCCACTTGCAAGACTCAACGATAACACCAGTGTTTTTTGTAAACACTGATGAAATTTTTGAGCTCATGTTTAAAAACAAGATCCAGAATTGGCACAATGCTTAGAAATCTGGCATCCTAAAAAATACTAAAGCAAGCAAGGCTCCACTCTGTATTCCAGCCTGTGCTTTAGCTCCCACATCAGGTCAAGCATCAGCTCTTTCATCTTCCTAATCAGCTCTTAAGACGAGAAGAGAAAGGTAGGATGTTCCTGCTGTCACACTTCAGTCCCAGCTGCAACAGATGGCAGGAAGACAGAACCTCAGCTGCTTTGTGCCTCCTGCACAGCTATTTTTCAGGACCTCCCTTCCCATGACTAGCTCGGAGATTTGCTTCCAGAGGCCCAAAACATTGTTCAACAGTACCAAGTCAGAGTAGCTCTAGCTTAAATCAGCATCATTATATACTTCAACATTAAGCCAATTTGTGCATAGCAAGCATAGAAATATCTGAATCATAACATCATTTTTTTTAAATGCATACTAGTACTGCTGGTTTATTTTAACAGAAAATCATTCTGGCTCAGGATGAGTAGCTTGATTTAAATCCTAGGTGCATATGGCTACTCTGTGTATATATGGTCCTTCCTGTAACCAAAATCAAAGAGCCAACTGTTATTAATAAGTGCTGTCTATTTCATCTCACATTGTTCCCACCTACGATTTCTTTTGGGACTGTTCTCCTAATTTGTCTAGTTCATTAAAATAATTTTTTGCTATTCTAATCTTACTAACCAACCTTGCCTTCCTCAATTTTTTTTAACAATTTACCCTTTCCTTACCATCTCTATTGCTCTCAAACACTTTTTCAGAGATAATGTCTCATTCCTCCATTCATTCCTTCTTCCATTTCTGCTTTTCTCCCCTTAAAACTCTAAGTATCCAGTTATTCATTCAACCACCACAAACCAAATTAGTAGAAGCACAACAACCCTCCCTTGCCTCATGGATAGAGCAACTCCCAGCTAGTGGAAACATAAACATTACCCTTAACTTGAACTGGCACTGATTCGTTTTAAAACTGCTACCAACCCTTGCATAGAACCTGAATCACATTGCTTCTAAACAATGGATGAGGAGAAAGAAAGCAAGTTCACACCTTTGGCCAGCTAACTCACAAAGACATAAATTTTTCCCCCTGGAGAACTGAGGACCAGAGAGCCCCAGATGGCCAAGTGGAAAGAAATAAAAATATATCTTTTTTTTTTTTTTTTTTGGCAGGAGGACGAGCAATAGAAAGAAGTCAGATGTGAACATCTCACACTAAACACCAGACACAATATTTCTAAGATATATTTCATTATTCCCTACACTCCTCCTGTCCAATGATCCCAGCAACAGAGGAAAAGGAAAAAACGTCTTGCACAGTAAGTGAGAGGCTAAGTATGCATGTGTGTAAAGACCAGCTGTGAACCAGATGTCAGAGGCTATTTAGAGTTAAAAACATATAGACATACATGTTTCAACAAGCAAGCAGAACGAGTAGCCAACAAAGGACAGGAACCTCAACAATTTAGTCTTCTGAGGTGCTTGAAATAGCACTAGGTATATTTTATCCTTCCATTCCATGACCCAATCACTTCTTTATTTTCACAAGACCTTACAATAAATCTACTATTGCAAGTGTTTGCTGCTAGGCCCTCAGGATGGCTGGAAGAAGCCTCTATTACAGCATCATCTAGGGGGAACAGGAGGAAAAGCAGCCCACCACAATACAGCTGCTGCTCATGCAAAATAAACTGCACTTGAAGCACAGGACTCCTAGAGCCAGCAGGAGATTCAGTGAGTGGCAGCTCTCACGAGAGGTAGGAACCAGCAGGAATATACATCAAAACTGAAGAACACTTGAAAATCCATGTTTGGCAAGAGGTCTTGCCACAAGGTGCTGAATAGCGGTAGTGAAAGGATTCCTCAGGTTGAATGGAAAACTCCTGGGGAACACTACCAGTGAAACAGGACTTCAGCTGTCAATCCTTTGCATTTATTATGCTCTCATCACACAGTCACTTGGAATTGCCTATCTACTGACTCAGATGAGTACAGTACCACTTCATATTGAGTTTATAACCACTGGAGACTAAAAGAAAGAAGTTTAGTTTCTTCACAGGTTCTGCACAAGTAAGTGAGCTAAACCATGCACATACTTTCAACAGGACCTTATTTCTACTAATGGCAGGCAGTTCATTTAGGCCAGTACTAAGTACACTTCTACTTTTCATATGAACTGGAATCAGGCAGACCTGCCTCCCCATGTTTTCAAAAGTAAATGATAAATGAAAAACTGTATCCTTCAAACACTCAATAAAATTACTATTTTCAGGTGTATCTCGCAAAAGGATTCAGGCTACATATAGCACTGATGTTCACTTCTACATAGCAAAGATCAGTATTTTAATGGGTAAGAAAGCAGTATCTCTTTTGCCTTCTCTGGTCTATCAAAATTTCTCTTTTAAAAATGCAACTTGCTTATAAACAAAGTTTTATAAGTAGTACTTCGTTATGTTGACAGAAGAAAAACCTTGTAAAAGCCACAAACGAAAACTAAATTGACTCAGAAGTGCCTTTCCAAACTCTGAACAGAAACTCAGATGCACGCTGGTCTGTCTACCTCAAGAGGCAACCAGCTCTGAGGCCGAAGCGAAGAGAGCCTACTGATCCACCTGGGCAACCTTCCTTGCTCTCCCTTTCGGCGGGAACGTCGAACTCACATGGCAGGCCCTTGCCCCGGCCGCCTCCCGGGCACTGACAGACACGGAGAACTCCGGGTACCTCAGCCTGGCGACCATCCGCCGCCAGTGCGCTGCCAGCAGAGCATCACTGCGGAGAACAGGACCAAGCAGCATCACAGTCACTACGTTATTAGCGGCTCCTTTCATTAAGGCTCAAGAAAATGGGATTAAAGCCGTATGCATCTATTTGTTGACCAAGTCTCGACGGGTCCCGCAAGGGTACCGAAACGCCGATAGAGGGTTTCGCTGCCGAGTACGGAGCGAACACAGGCGGTCCCGGCGCAGCTCCCCGACGAGGAACCCGTCCCGGCTCTCCGCTACTCCCCGCCACACACACGAGGGGGAGACCACGGAGGAGAATACAGGACCGGGAGTGAAAGTGGAGCAGTCAGCCGGCATCACGGCACCGGGTATCGCGACAACGCAGCGCGGCAGAATGGAAGCCGCCGCGGGCTGCTACTCCTCAGCGGGAGAGCCGGAGGGAGCGCTGAGGCGGAATACCAGGAAAGGGGCGCGGGACACCGAGGCTACGGAGAGGAGTGGGGCGCTGCTGGCCGGGGCTGGCACTGACCTTGCCAGTGGTGCCGTCCCCCAGCACCACTAGCTTGAGCTGGTGGTCTGGGCTCTCCTCCTCCTCCGACTCCGACATGATCCCTACGTCCCCGACGGGGAAGGAGAAGAGGCGGAGGGCAGCCGGGAGGGACGGGGTGCGACAGCTAGGAGGAGAAGAGGGAAAGGTGTGAGCGCAGCCCTCACAGAACCGGCAGCAATGCAAAGGCCAAAACCGCCATCTTCCTTCAGCGCACCACCGTCGCTATAGCCCGCACGGGACGAAACCAACGAGAGACCAGAGAAAAGGGGGAGAGGGTAGCTCGGAGGCGAGAGCTATAGCAACAAGTCCAACAGCCGCTACGGGCGCAAGCAGGAGGCACTCCCGAAGCCCTCACTTCTGTGTTCCCCCACCACCACCCCCCCAGCGGCTGGGCGAATGGTTCAACCCGGCTGTCTGCTGCGCGCAGCGATGGTTTAGCCCCGAAGTGACGCCCCGCGCGGTAACTAGGGAGCGTGGAGGTCAGAGGGCGCGGGGCGGGCTGCCGGAGGGTTTATCTCCGCGCGGCTGTCCGGGCGGTGATCCTCCCGTGGCTGAGGGCTTGGGGCGAGGAGTTGCGAGCGGGGCGGTCCCTTAGGATCGTGCTTTGGGAGCAGGGAACAGGCCGCTTGCGGCGCTTCACCGGGGGGCTGCATTTCCGTGCTAGCTGCACCCGCCTCCGTGACCAGGTCACGTTTATCGCTGCGTTTCCGCGCGGCAGCAAAATACATCAGTGTTTTTAAAGAAGTGAGCTAACACTGAAAGCTCATAACGGTGGCAAGTACTGCACCGAGTCCTAATATCCCTGTGTTGTAGCACAGTCGTTCTTGGCTAAATTTCTCCTAAACCCTCCTACCCCACCAGATAGGGATGCCGCTGCTTTCTTACATGGTCTACTCGGAACCTTTCTATCCATCTAGTTAGTAAGAAAACTTGTCTACATAGTTCTAACTGAATTTTAAATCAGTATTTTATTATGCACATTGACCATGGAGAGCAGCTTGTAGCCTCCCCTTTCATAGCAGCCTTCCACGTATTTGAATACTGTTACCATGGCTTCAGTCTGTCTTTTCTGTAGACTAAACAACTCCTCTTCGTTCAGTCTTTCCCTAGGTTGGCTTTTCTAGACTTCTGATTATTCTTGTTCCTTTCCTTTGGCGTCTCTCCATTTACTTGAAGTGGTGTGCCAAGAACTGGATACAGTACTTTGGTTGAGGCCTTATGAGTACTGAGTAGAGTGGAAGTATTACTTCATGTGTCTTACATATGAGACTCTTGTTTATATATTCCAGTATGATGTTTGCTTTCTTCACAGTATGACATTGCTGACTCATACTGTTTCTGATTTACTAAAACACCTCTGAATCCCCTCCTGTTATCAGAATTTCATACACTTTCCCAGGTTTTATTCCTGCCCAACTGTAGTCCTGTATTGAATGTATTTTCCTGCGTGCCTGTATTGAATTTTATACTATATTTCAGGCTACTCACACAATTCGTTAATGTAATTTTATTTATAATCTTGTCTTCCAAAATGCATGCTATCCCTTCCAACTCAGTTGTATCTGCAACCTTAAGAACCGTATTCTCTGTCCCAAAGTAATTCATAAAGATATCCAATAGTACCAGATCTCTGCAATCCCCTGTTTGACGTATCTTTCCAACAAGTTATAACAATTCTTTGGGCATAGTTTAAACAGTTTGAACTAAAGAGACAGCTAGAACTCTTTAAAGTATAGACGTATTTTAATGGGTTCAATATCAAGCTAGGAATGTGTAGAACAACTCTGTGTAATGCCTGAATAAAAAAAAAAAATTCCCGTTTCAGTCTCCTTCAGGTTTTCTTTTTGAAATGTGTGACAGAAATTTCCAGTATTACAAGTACACTGTTTCACTCAATCCTCAGCAGGATCAAGATTCCTTATTACTCATGTATTCAAGTGTTTGCAGAATTGAGGTCAAATGCTTTCCCAATGACATTCTGAAAAAAGGGGGGTGAAAAAAAAGAAAACAAAAAAACCCAGAAAATACCTTAATTTCAAATGGAAAAGCAGACACACATCTTTGTAACTTTCTTCGTACTTCAAAACAAATTAAATGTGTTACTCATCAACTGTTTTCCACTTAAGATCATCTAGCCTAATTATACTGCAAGTTCTCTTAACTAGGGACTTCAACAAGATCACCAGGGCTCAGCTGAACAGCATTTCTTGGAAGGAATTACAACAGGGCAAACACGGAATTTTCCTTTATGATTTCTGACATACTGAAGGGTTGTACAATTGGCATTAGACATTTAAAAGCTCCACATCTCACACTAGGCAGACTGATGATTGATAAACCACTGTTGAGGGAACTGTTCCTATTCCTGTCAATGCTGCCTCAATCACAGTAAGAAAGAACATAAAAGATTAATTCAGATCTTCCCAATGCTTTGGGGGAGAATCAGGATTCTATTCAACCCCCAAAACAAGAATTAGGAGTATTCAGGTTGCACATACAAAACCAGGATGACCAGAGAGCAAGGGCTCCTGGTCTCAGGGCCACATGTATTCTCATTTGAAATACAACAAAAAAAAAAAGTGTGAGTTATAATACACGTCCCCAGACTTAATTTTCTCCTTAGATTATAATATTTTTTTTCTCCACAAATCACCCAAGCATATTAAAAGTTTAGAAAGTAATCATCTAAATGAGTGAACAATATAGAAAGAACTGTTTCATCTTGAATATGGCATTTGCAGGCTTAAAGTTGCCTTGAGGCTGTGCAGCTGATCTGTTTAAATAAGCACTTACATATTAAGGCCTAATTTGGGAAATACAAAGATTACTTGCTGTGGATAAACATGCACATTTGCTATTGACTACCAAAAAGGGTGAATGGAAAATACCCCAGGAGACAGCATAGTAACATAACCAGACAGCTCAGCCCTCCAAGAGCCTCCTTGCAGTTGTTAATTGTAAAAAAATCAGTGTACAAGATTAAAGCTGCCTGGTGGAGTTAATGCTTTAATTAGCAATAAAACCATCAAAACTACCATTATTTCACTTTATACTAGCACAACGGAGCAAACAATCAGACTGCAAATCTGTATACATCTTATTTATCAGTGTTCAGCAAGCACGTTAACAGCATGGTGTGGTTATTTTACATGCAGTGGTACAGATTATTGGTACCACCACATCCCCTTTAGAGAGATTTTCAAACTGTAATGTTTTAGCACAGTCTTTACTAGTTTGTTATTTGGTAAATATATGAATATAGCTATATGAGTATAATATGTTCATACACTTAATATTAATTTTATAGATTAAAGGAAGCTAGTAATGAACTGCTTGATACTTTACAGGTAATGAAAATATACTAAGCATGTTGAAAAGCGCTAGAATTAACAAACAGAACACACTGCAGTCATTTATTTTTTTCTATTGGTGGCAGTACATGGATAATTTTAAGCTCTTCTGCATTTTTAGAATACTAAGAAAAAAATCCCCAAGCACGGCCTTTGAATAGAGCTTTCACTGAAAAATGACTGTCGCTCGATGGCACAGGAAGCAAAACATATTATTTAGTGAGCATTCAGTTAGTTGCTATTTGCTCTCTTGTTTTTCATGATTATTTTTTTGTGAAGACATTTTACTAATAATCCACTGGTAGCTGATAATATTCTCAGGGATAGTGGGATCTTTGTGGGTGTGTGATTTTTCTAGAATAAAGTTGAATTTCCTACATGCAAGTGTCCATTAAAGATCCAAAAATAATGACCTACATAGGAAATAGCCGCATGCTTCTTATGAGCTCTGAGAAAAGGTGTGAGTCAAGCTGAATAATGTGGGATTCTGGGCTGACAGGAAAAGGAATGGCATGTGTGAGGGCCATCAACCTTTCTGCCATCCTCTTCAGGAATGCAGGGTCGTTAGCTAGAGAGGCATCTCTGCTGTCCTCTTCAGCGCTTGATGGAAACAACACATTTCTCAGAGTGACTGACAGGAGCTGTGTCCTCTGTTACCAATAAAAATCACTATTTTAACTTTTGCTCTGCATTTTCTCCCCCTGTGCTTATGCAAACACATGCATTTCTCTTTGTGTTTCATTCATACCAGGTTTTTTATTTCAAGTCTCTGTAGCTGGGATCCATAGATGCTCCTCTTCTTCAGGGTGGAAATTGCCGTTACATCCGTTTGAACAAGGAAAGTGTCCTTGGAAAAGAAAAGCAAAACTATTGCCAAAAAAAGTGGAATGTGTATTAAAAAAAAAAAAACTTTAAGAGATTTACTTGCATTATTGTGTTGATTTTGCCACTCAGCCCTGGAGCAGAGTAGAAAGCAGCTGTTACTTTTAATTGCACTAGAGATTTGCAAATAAAACCCAAACTGTTTCTTCTTCATCAGTACCATCTCTAATGTCTTTACCAGATAGTCTTTTCTTCTGTACTGCTTGAGTGAGACTTGGTGATTAATGTGGTGGACTAGACTGACAACTGAGTGGAAATGTTAAATAATCACTTGTTTTTATACATGTAAAAACAACAGTTCCTATTCATGTTGGAAATCCTTGCTTTTTGAAGGGCATTCTTCCATCTTGCTTCCTTCTAATCTAAGGTCATTTAAGGAATAACTGCTTTAAATGCTTGTTGATTACAGTGATGTAAATGCCTCTGGCCCAGACGCTGCAGTGAACAAGACTTTCCACACATGAATATGGTTAAGCCAAAGGCCTCAACTTTTATGAACTGCATTGCCTAATAAAACAGGGAAGAACCGCTAGCCAGCTGTTCTCCACAAACTACCCAGTAAAACAGGACCAGTGAGGTTCACCAAACACAGGACTGTGGAGGCCAAGCTAAATGTTTAAGAGAAGGCTAACCGCATCCTCCCTCCCGCAAAAGTGACCAAGGCTGGTGGTCCCAAGCAAAGTATCTCCTTCTACCCTGTCTGTGCTGGGGAGAGAAGAGTCAAGTAAGTAGTAGCTTTTTCCTTTGTGTAAGGTGCTAAATTTTCCCTGCTAACCAACACCTGGCTAGTATTTTAAAGCATGAACAGTAATTCTGGCCACAGCTAACATGTAAAACCCACACTGGAAACTTGCTCTCCAGTTGTGTGTATGCACAAACAAGTTCTCTGGTCTTTCCACTAGCCAAATTTACTAGTAAAGCCACACCACATCTTCAGTGGTGGTAAACACTTTTTCTCACTGTGGAAGGAAAGTGCTAGCCAGCTCAGAGCAGAAAAACCCAGCAACAGTCCAGGTAAATAACAACAGTTAAAGAAAGAGAAGGGGTCAAAGAGACCTTCAGAACAAGAACTAATCTGTAAGAATGGGCAACTGGGATTCACACAGAGTATATCTAACTTCTACTGAGAGCATCGTGC